TATTTGCCAGGAAAATATTTTCCAGGACTATAATTGTACAATTCAGGTTCAAGTCCCTCATTATTTGAGAATTGCCCAAATCCAATTGAGTTACTTTATAATTCAAAAATGAAAGGTTCAACAGTAATTCCAAGTTTAATTTCCTTTTCTACATATAAAGAAATATTAAAAATTTCTTCATTCGATATTCCATGTTCAGATAAAATTTTCTTGAGGGTCTTCCACCAGGAATTGAGCAACTTCCTCTGAAATTAGGAAATCCATGTATAATAAACATTTTCTTCAAAAAATTTCCAGAAAATTATTTTCCATGCCTAATATTTTTCACAAATCAGTCTTAATTCGCTCACTTCAAAATAATCTCCTGAATCAAATTGAGTCTCTGTCAAGTAATTAAACCTCTGATATTTTTAAAATAATGCCAATTCTTTTCTGCAAAAATACATCTGAAAAAATGCAATCCAAATTTAATTTCTGCTCGACTATTAAAAAAACATATCTTCATTTTTCCTATACAATTTTTTTTTTAAACAAGTGCAATGCCCATAATATACATATATTTAGCTTTGAATTTATTTAGAGAAAGGATATATTCACTTGAATAGATTCAGAATTAAAACAAACAACCTCCTCATCCTGCCGGATCATCACCCGATTATCCCATAAATAGGCAACTCTGTTGTTTCGGGACTCCTAATCCAGCTTCTGAAAGATAAAAAATAAATAAAACTATACTTCAGAAATACACGCACACGCAGAAAAAGGGGGAATAAATCCCAGCGTTGTCACCACACGGGAATGCGGATGTCGCCTGGGGGGAGGGGGGCATAATAAAGATGGAAACTTATTATGGCTTCTATATATAGGGTGGACCACAAAAAGTGAACCATTTTCTGACTCACAAAATAGCTCAGTAGCAAATCAAGCTGTAGCCGCATATGACAGTGAAATGGACAGGAGAAAGCTTGTTCAATTCCTTCTGAAAAGCTGCATAGTATACTGGAAGGGGGATTTGGACAAATTGTGTGATGATTTGGACAAATGCAGACAGAAAATTTGAGATAGGGACAAATTGAAACAAAAACTATCTTAATGAGGAGAGGAATTTGCTTAGGTGGGTTCAAAGATTTGAGTTTAATTGTCTTGATGAGTAAAACTCACTTGACACTTGGACAGTGATGATGGACAAAAAGGAGAAACACCATGGGATCATAAGCTTTTTACCAAACAGTTTAATTTTTCTTTATTTTCACAGAGTCAAGTTATTTTGTCTCAAAATGTCTCAAATTCTCAAAATGTCTCAAATTCTCAAAATGTCTCAAATTCTCAAAATGTCTCAAATTCTCAAAATGTCTCAAATTCTCAAAATGTCTCAAATTCTCAAAATGTCTCAAATTCTCAAAATGTCTCAAATTCTCAAAATGTCTCNAAAATGTCTCAAATTCTCAAAATGTCTCAAATTCTCAAAATGTCTCAAATTCTCAAAATGTCTCAAATTCTCAAAATGTCTCAAATTCTCAAAATGTCTAAAAATTCTCAAAATGTCTCAAATTCTCAAAATGTCTCAAATTCTCAAAATGTGCTTCTCTCAATTTTTCAATGCGTCAAAAGTGTCAGTCTCAAATTGTTCCTGTCTCCAAAAAGTTTCTGTCTCACATTGTCCCTGTCTCAAAAAGTATCTGTCTCAATTTGTCCCTGTCTCAAATTGACCTAATGGTCTTGAATTGGCCCAGTCTTGAATTTTCTGTCTCAATTTGTCCAAGATCCACTGGAAGGAGTTGCCTGGTAATCTTTTTTCTAATTTTCCTTCAAATGGTTTTTATTTGTAACCATGCAGTTGCATTTGTGGGACTGTTCATATCACAAGCCTGAGTTGAAAGGATATTGAAGAAGCTTTCATTTGCTTTTTTTTTTTTTCATTGTTGCAGGTTGATTTTCTATATTATTGTGAGCCAAAAATCAGTTCAGTTTTTTTGATCCACCCTGTATAGAGTGTATACTGTATATAGAATCCCCTGGGGGCCATTGAGTTATGATGGAGCCCCTGGACAGATGGATAAGAAGATTATGATATGATCACATCTCTCTGCTGAAGAAAAGTTGATGCTGTCAATTATTATATTGGTTTGCTGTGTATAGTATATTCTCATCTTATATACCTGCAATGACCATGATGAGAGGTCCCTGATCTGAGTTGCCTGAGGGCATGCAGTCAATCCAGGCCTTAATTTTCTGATATCCTTTTTTTCAAGTGGTTATTGAGCTCTGGCGTGTGGAGTCCATTCATACCTTGTGATAATATATCCTGATGGAAGATGGATAATTTTTGTTGTGTGTGTGTGTGTGTGTTAGAGACTGAGTGTCTCAACAAAGAAAAGAAGATGAATATAATAAATCAAGCACAACAATCAGCCTGGGACTGGCTGGGAACCTCATTATATAGAAGCTCCAAGAAATTGATATTCGTTTATGTCCCAAAATAATCAACAACTCAGCATCTTCCAGAGAAATGCACAAGCACACCATAATTTGCACAGTTTTTTTAGATAATTGGTTCAATGGAAGCTAAGAATGGGAAAGAAATTCTGAATAAAATTGTTGTGCTGTTGATTTCAATTTTTTTAGGCTTTTATGCATTAGTGAGGAAGGGTTGTGTTGAACTTGTTCCTTATTGGTGAAGTTTGGGATTTTTTTGCAGATTTCTGATTGGCCATTCATGTCAAAATCAAAGATGATGTGTGGCATTGTCTTACAAGTTTTGAAGGTTCTTGTATAGTGGCAATTTCTTCAGTGTAGGGATTTCTATACAAGCCCTAGCACTTGTTTATGGGAAGCTGATTGCTGGGAGGATTATTATATTAAATCAGTGTCTTGTGCCACAGTTCCTGACTGCTGTGTGAGGGCTGTTATTTGATACCTGAGTGGAATTCTGATGGAGATTAGGTAATTGGCAAAGATGGGATAGGTTGTTCCATATTATTTAGATTCAAATTATTCTCAGAAATACTGTATCTCATAAAAATAATTTGCGAGGGAGAGGTTTGACCCAAACAGTTTTGAGTTATTCAGGCAATTTTTAAAAGAAATTTGACTTAATGAAAAATGACCAAAAATGTTTGATACAGTACACACCTGACTATCTGAGTGATATTTCTGACTGAAATGGCTGGAAGAGATTTTGTGGAATTTGTGGGTGTTATTTTAATTTAATCTGTGGTGAATAATTGATTGATTGATCTAAAAGCTTTTTTGACAATTTTCATCACTCAAAATAAGATTCAAAAAATTTCCAACATCCACCCCCTTCCCCACACATCCAATCAACACATTCTGACTTAGAAAAACGATAATTCATTCTAGGAGTATTGATGTAAATGTATCACAGTACACAGCATAAAAACACAGGAATTTTATGAATTTACATCATTTTTGGATGACAAAAATCACAGCATGCACAGCAATGAGGCAATTACTGAAAAATTAAAACACAAGGCATTTAGCTTGTTCCTATATAGGTAATTATTAATTGAGTTAGCAAAAAAGCTGACACTTGATTATCCTGCTCCCCCAAAGTTTGGGAGAGTACCTTTTTATGGGAGATGAGTACCAGTATTTCTAATTCCAACAATCCTTATGATATAATCTCATTTCAACCAACTTATTTTCCCAACAAATAACTGATGATCATCTCAGGGTAAAGAAAATATCCTTGATTATGTGCATGAGCTGGAGGGATTATTAACAAAAATGGACAGAAAAATGACAAAATATAAATTTTGTAGTGCAGTATATTGTGATGATTTCATCAAGAAGCAGAACATTTTTCAAAGAAAATGTATTATTGCAGGCAATATACAGTATAGTATATGTTTTTTATTCCTTATAGACTCTCTTCAGCTTCATTTGAAAATTTATTATAATGCTTCATTTCTTGCATTTACAACATTCTGTCAATTTCATCAGAGAGTTGAGGAACTATAATGTCAAAGAGCCTGAAGATGACTGTCACAGAAGCACTGTAGAACATTGATTAATAATCTCTTCTTACAAAATGTCAGTCCAAAACATATGCCAAACATTTAGTCTTGATACAATGAATATTTAGCCTGTTTCTAGAGATAATTTTAATTGGTTATAAGCAGAAAAGCTCACACTTGGTTATCCTGCTGGTCCCCAAAATTTTGGTACTTTCCTGTTATCTCTGTACCTTCCCTCTGACCAATTTAATCTGACCTAGCCTAACTTCACCTAATCGCCTCCCAAAATCATTTTCTGCTTTCTTTGGGTTTCTGCTGAAACTGATTTTGGGAGGCGGTTAGGTAAAGTTAGGTTATGTCAGGTTATGTTAATCAAAAGATATTTGTAACTAACATAACCTGACCAAACCTAACGGTACCTAACCACCTCCCAAAATCAGTTTCAGCAGAATGCGGAAAAATAAAATTCACGGTTTCTGGTAGGTTGTTGTATCAGTTTCAGCAGAAACCCAAAGAAAGCAGAAAATGATTTTGGGAGGCGATTAGGTGAAGTTAGGCTAGGTCAGATTAAATTGGTCAGAGGGAAGGTACAGAGATAACAGGAAAGTACCAACATTTTTAAGAGTACCTTTTTTATGGAAGAGTACTATATATCAGCCATTCCAAGTCAACCATTCCTTATCATAATCTCATTACAGTGAAGTTTTCCCATCAGGTTGCTTCTAATCCTGGGAGTTTGTTTTGATGATATTATTCCTGAATGTTTATTTTTTAATTTTTTGTTTTTTATTTGTTGTGCCATCAGAGTGAATTCGTTCATGCAAGACCTGAGTATACAGGTCAGGTTCTGTGATCATCATCAGTGTTTGCTCTATATATATACATATATATATATATATATATATATTCTGAAACAAAATGGCGGACGGAGTGTCAGTAGTAGAGTGGCTGTCATCATCATCATCATCATCATGGCGCCTGATGGTGCTGGCCGGCTTCTGCACCTGCTGGTCTTCCTTGCTGATGTGCTCTGCCATTCGACAGCAGTACCCGGGTTCCCTGGCTGCAGCTGGGTCCTCGCTCCCGTTTGCCGGCCTGTTTGGGTCCGGGACGCCGGGTTCGGATCCCTTCTGGTACCGCCAAAGACCCGCCGCCGTCAGGGCGCCGCCGACTTTTTCTTGCCACGGGCGGCGGAACGGCGTGTATGCGGACTTCGAAGCCGAATGCAGGATTTACCACAGGTCTGAATGGTGGTGTACATATATATATATATACATACTGTATATACAATGAGACCCTGATATGCGGACATAATTGGCGCGTCAAGAGTGTCCCAAAGTCAAAATGCCCCCAAGTGTATTACTGCATAATTTTCCCTTGGAATTAATTTATATAATTATTTATTGGGGTTTTATGGAAAAAGATATTCATCAGAATTCCATTGAAAAATTAGGTAAGTAGTAACATTCCCCAGGCTAACGGTGCCCTTGCCTGGGGGATTTTGTTACTCGACACGGATAATTAATGGGTATTCATAAGATGATTTTCTAGAATTTTCCAAAAATACAAGAAATATCTTGGGTTTGTGTATTTGACGTAGCAGGAGCAGGGTGGTATTTGGAGGAATGCTTTTTTTTCCATGATGAACTTTGCATAACGCTTGGTTTGTATTTTAAAACTGTTCTAGGATTGCACACCTTGAAATTCGAGAAAAACAACTTGAAGAAATTACTTAGAAATAGGCTTCGTTTTTCATCGTTTGACGAATTTGTCTAGTGTCAGTCGACGTGCGTAATTTACTTCATTCATGTGCGACGTATTTTTACTCGGAAATTCTCCGGAAACAGAAAACTCAAAACTGACTTCCGACATTATCCAAGACACACACTGAAGCAGTTGGAAAGATAATTACTTCAAAACATTGCCCGTGACTTGAGACAATAAGCACCAAAAAGGCAAGAACAGCAGGAACAACACCAGCAGAAGCGTGATCGTATCGAAAATAATTATACCATTCGGTGATTACGTGTTTTTACTGTAGGAAAGCGGCGAACGGAAAGAAATATCCGTCTTTCACGAACCCTATAAGCGTATTTTTGCGTTTGGGTGATCAAAAATAATTCGCCTCTCTTTGCCACGCTTGGATCAACTTAATTCAACTTTTGCAGCGCATTGACTTCGTGAATCATCTCCTTTCTTATTCGAAAAAAAGGTACTTGAAGGCATACCTTTAAAAAGGTACGCGATAATCGTGTTTTTATACTTGTCAGAGCCATCGAAAATATTGCAAGATATGCTCAAATTGCTTTTAATATTTGAACCTCTTCAGTTAGAATTATTGGCGTGGACGTGAATAAGACAGCAGTTGATCCAAATAATTGGCGCTCGCGATTTTTTTTCAAATCTGCGAGATGAAAAGCTGCTGTCTTCAAGCCAATACTTCTGATTGGAGAGGTTCAAGTATTAAAAGCAATTATATATATATATATATATATATATATATATATATATATATATATATATATACATACTGTATATACAATGAGACCCTGATATGCGGACATAATTGGCGCGTCAAGAGTGTCCCAAAGTCAAAATGCCCCCAAGTGTATTACTGCATAATTTTCCCTTGGAATTAATTTATATAATTATTTATTGGGGTTTTATGGAAAAAGATATTCATCAGAATTCCATTGAAAAATTGTCTGCCAGTTGAAACCAATTCAATCAAAATCTTTTAAAATGCTATGGACATTTGGAGCATATTGATTACTATACCTCATGTACATCAGTACATTGAAAGGTTGGCATTCTCTATAAAGATAAAATTCAAGTCAAAAATAGAGAAGGAAGTCCCTCTATGCTGAAGGTATTTTTTTAAATCAGCTAAATGGATGGTAAAATTATTCAAGAAATGCCAAATAATTTTAATTAGATATATAGATCTTTGGGTTGGAAATATCTGTTTCTTGTTACCGTATTTACTCAAGTACCACATGCCCTTGAGTAAGGCATGCACAGGGGTTTTTCAGTTGGAAATTTGGCTAAAATCTTATCCCCAAGTAAAACGCGTACCCCAATTTTTAGTGAATCTAAAACAAACAAAAATTTGAAAATAAAAACAAAAAATTTGACTTTGGACATGAATTTAACAAAAATCTGATTAATTTTCAACTTTTTTGATGAAAAAAAGTTTTCTTATTACATTCTTCCCAAATTTCTCCATTATAATCAAGTATAATGCACGCTTAAATTCCTGAAAACTTCTTGAAAAATGTGTACCCGCTTATGAGGTGCACCCCTTTTTTTCTTCTGAAATTTGAGAAAAAAGGTGTGCATGGTACTCGAGTAAATACGGTATTTGGCCTGAAACTTAGTTGCAGTTTTAGCAAACAATATCCACATGTCAAGTCAGTGTCTGCATATGTTGAGCCTTTTTATGCATTTTTTATAGGAAAATGAGTGGCCTTAGGTTGAATTGTCTGCAATTCCAAGTGTCAGCATTTTGAGGTTCCATTGTATATGGAGGAGAATATCATTACAAAAAATGTTCCCCTTACAATTATGCATTGTTTGCTTTATTACAGTACAGTATAAGGTAACTACGAAGTCTGTTATAAAGTAAAGTATACAGTAAAGTAAGGTAAAGTATATACATGCAGACTCGGAAGTTACTATATATAAGGTAAATTTCACAGTCTGTTATAAGTGGTGCCTTGCCTAACAACCACAATTTGTTCCTGCAAGGAGGTTGTTAGGTAAAACAGTTGTAAGGGTCATATTTTCCCTTAAGGATCAATGCGAAACCCATCAGTTGGTTCCCAATAAAAAAAAAAAAAACTGACAGAAAAATGTGAAAATTTGCCTACATTTTCAAATAACAAAGCACAGATCTCTAAAAATACTGCTATAGTTCATTCAAATGCTTTTCCTTATTAAATTGCCTTGCTCTCTTATAATCCACAAAATTAATAGCTATTGCACTCCATGCATAGCAACATATATGAGCAAGACTTGTCTATAGATGTCACTTTTGCATGAAATTATATATGAGCAGCACAAATTGACTAAATTAACAATCAAAAATTTTTAGAACTTTGTTGGCCAAGAAAGGTGTATTTTAGTTTGTTTCAAGCTCATCATGCTTCTAACTTTTTTGTCTGCGTATTATTGTCTTTTAAATTTTAGAATTTCATAAAGTTAATAAGAGCTTTTATTTGTGCATGTTCCCTCAATAATTTTATAATACAGTAATCAATTTTAACTTTACCATTTGATTGGGAAATTTCCCAAAAAATATAATTTTGAGTTTTATCATGGTGCTTTTTTAATGAAATAATAAGGAAATAATTAAATTTTTCACTTCAGAACCGCAACTTATTGCGGCAACTCATGTTTTACACATAAGATGTAAAAGAAATTATCCCAGCAGAAAAGCATTTAAATTTTGCTTCATTAGTTTAACTTACTCATGTAGGTATTTATTACACAAGAATTTATAAACACAAATTTATTCTCAGGTGACATCACCCATGCCTATTGAATAGATCAGTTCTGTACATTTATTTTAAAAAAAATATTATTCGATCATCTGCATGTGCATAATAAATTATGGATTTTTGAAACAGGTGCGCCCACGGTTTTCGCCAAACTTATTACTGCGAAGACGACTTCAGTTTCAACCCAGCCACGGAAACATGCGAACCTCAAAGATCCTTTCCCTGCGTCAAAGAGCCGCAAAAGCAACCCGACCATGACAACAATAACAAGGAACGCCTCGTAATAAACTCAGATGACGTTAAAGACGTCGCAGAGCAGGACGAGGATATTGGCAACGAGTTTTTGCAAAACGTGGACGGTGAGGAAGAAGAGGACTCACCGAATAAGCACGAGGATTTGCGAGATGACCCGAATAATAATGATGCAGTGCCGCAAATAAGTGAGGGCAGACGAGCCGAGTCAGTGGATATTTTGGCATCTGATCATCATGAGAGGACGATGATCAGCACATGCTGATGGAAGGGAATGATGTTGGGGCGACACCTACTTGCGATGGGAATGGAACCGCTGCTGCTGATGGCCTTCATCCCGCGCCAAATGATGCCAACGCATATTATGAGTTAGTAACCCTATAATTCAGTACAGTTTGAGGACATTTTTCTAAAGTCCCTGGGAGTTTGTTGTAACAGGAATACACTTGATATGCAGCAGTGCTCTCTTGCTTTTATGAGCAATTTTTGATGGGAATGTGTGAAATGACCTTGTATAATTTTTTACATAATTTTGTCCCCTACCATCAGATGCATTCATGGATACCCTGTATTCAACAACCAGACAGGCAACTATTTCTTCAACTGCCCCCAAGGGACCAATTTCAACCAACTGCATCAAAACTGTTCCTCATCATCAATTGATGATTCCCAAGAATCTGAATTTGATGCTGCACCTCATGTTCTGTGTTTGAATTGCATGAAACCAAGTTGTTACCCTGGGATTACCAGCAGTCATGCATCAACACAGGCACATTCAAATGCTGGTTCCCGCAAGTATGTTGTACCAGGAACACTGTGCAGAGCTGTGTTTGAATGCCCTGCAGATGTCGCTGGTGAAGCCAGACTGTTCCTTTGCTCTGCGGGCGCCATCTTTGATACAAAATCACAGGTAAGACCTTCCTTGGGAAAATTGAGATCCGTTTTTCTTAATTCCAGCATTTGGATTTTTAAGGTATCTGAATAAGTATTCATTTTAGGAATTTCAATTTGGTGTCACTTATTTGAATCTTCATATTTTATATAGTTTTGACTTATTGAACTGATTTAGACCTGTGATAAAATGTGGTGAAACTGATTCAAAATCTTAAAAAAATTTAGTAGATTAAAAAATTAATCTAAAAAACCACGTTTTCAAAAAGCAAAAAATAACCTACTATCCTGAAAGTTTCAGCTTGCTAGCTATAGTCGGGAAGTGAGCAAAATTTGAGTTGCAAAATTTGATCCAGACAAACAAACAGACAAGAAAGTGAGTTCATAAAAACATGGTAAAAACAACAAGTGATCAAGTATTTCCATGTTCAATGGAGGCCTGTACAAAAGTAAAAATGAACATTATTGAATTTCTTGTGTTTTGAAAGAAAAATTGCCTGGCACAATAAATTTTCCATTTAGCAGTGAAACTTAGGAAAAATCAATGGAAACTATTGCCCTTAAACAATATCAGAAAATCCAGGTTAAAATTAAAGTTGCTTCAATTGCATGCTAATCAGTTCTAACCCTCAAATAACATACTGCTAAAATTTGATGAAATAAATTTGATGTTCATCAGGGATATTTTGTGAGTGCCTGGAAAGATGCAAACATTTTGAATTAAAACTTGTGCAAGATATTTGCTTTGCATAGTAGAAGTTATTCTTGACTTTATTATAGTTGCATTAAGAAGTTCATCTATATATTTCCATTTTGAATTGAATACTTCAGTTTATTTTGCAGTGAAATCTCAATTATAATTGACATCATCATTTCATAAAGGTATCCTGGCTTCCATTCATTTAGGATTTCTTTGATATATTTTCTGATTGGTTCAAAAAGCCAAAAAAAAGTTTTCAATTATGAAAAAAATCAATTGGCTATTGGATGTATGTTTTTAAAAATTTTCTTATTGCACATCAAGTCTATATGAGTTATTGACTTGTAGTATGCTTGTCTTTATTTTGACAGGCTTGCCAGAGGATCAAAGAAACCAATCACACAGATCTAATGTGTCCAGAAGACCCCCTTCCCACTACATGCTCAACAGCAGTGGCCAAAGAGTCCACAGTGGTGACTCTGAGAGATGTTGCAAGTGTAAATGAGACCAAGAACTCTCCAGACATTATATTTGGTGTGTGTGCAAATGGATCCCTGGTTCATTATGGCCTGTGTCCCACATCAGCACCCATTTATGACCCAGACTCCAAGACCTGTGTGGTGTCTCCTTATCATCCAAGGACCAGCAATGCTGGGGGACAGTCTGACCTTGTTGCCAATGCCTCACTTTACTCTGGTGAGTTTTTCTTTCCTCTTTAGCACAAATCAGGATGATCAAAGCACTTTCAATTTACTATATCAGTGGGTCCCTGCTGAATGATGAAAGTAATTCATCCCAAGATGAGGTTTTATTTAAATATCCAAAACATATCATGATATACTATGAATTTTATAAGGATGAAATGCTGTATATTTAATATATTTCAGAGACACATAAAATCCTTCATTGGCTTTTTGAAATTTTCCATTTCATTTTGCCAAAACCAGATTTCGAAATTCCAGGCACTCAACTTTATGAAATTTATGCTTGATTTGCTGCTCAAGTGAATTCAAATTATAATTGTATTTCTTGTTTTTTTATTTTTTAACTTTGCCTCTATTTGGAAAACAATTCAAAAGTTTATATTTCATACTAGATTAGGTATCAGTGTGTGGACTTTCAGGATTTGTGAATACATTACATATATCTCAAATGATGCCTCACCCAGCCCTCAGAAGTCCATGATACCAAAATAAAAATGTTATCTTTAAAAACAAAACCAAGATCTCTCTTGGTCATAAACTGATATGTTTCTTGTGCAGGCCATAGTTATGATGCTGCCCAGGGTAAAATTTTCATTACTCAGCTCTGTGAAAATTTCAGTTCATTCTGCCCATCAATTATCAGAATAAGCTCATCATTTGCATCCAATAACAAGAACTGTTTTATGAAGAAAGAAAAAGATTAAAACAAGGATTTATAGTAATCTTTCACACATTTTGATGGTATAGTGAGTCCCCCAGATGCAAACATAATTGGAGCATTGAGGGTGTCCTTAAGTTGAATTTTCCCTAAAAGTCAAGTCTTGTTTTCCCATAGACTTACATTATATACATTTTAATTTTTGTTTTATGGAAGAAATATTCTTCAGAATTCCATGAAACAAAAATTTTTTGCTTGACTTTGATTCAGTAAATATATTTTCAACCCATAAGAACATTTGAAACATTGAATAGTATACCACCATACAAAAATGACATCCAAGTCACAAAAAGAGAAGGAAGTCCCTCTGCGCTACACCTAATTTTTTAAAGTTAGCTGCATTGGAATGTGATGGGGAAAGTGCCAAAGAATTTGTCTTACATAGATCTTAGGGTTGGAAATACAGTGTATCTGTTTCTTGCAATGAAGCCTAATTGAAGCCAATTTTCCTGAAATTTATTGGCAATTTTATCATGCAATGTCCTCATGTCATGTCAGTGTCCCTATGTTGGGCCTTTTTCATTATTTTTTACTGAAAAATAAATGCCCCTGGGTTTAATTGCCCCCATGTTGAGGTGTGCGCATGCAGGGGTCTCATTGTATCTTTTCTTGAACAAATGAGTGGGAAATGTTCAACAGCAACATCAGTCCCTCATAAAGGCAACCCTTTCATATCTGCATCTCACTTTAAAGTTATAGCATCACTCTTGAGTCTTGAAAAGGGCACTAGAAGTGAAAATATACAAAAGTAATCATTTTCTTTCAAAACTTTCATGAACATGTGAGCTAGTAACCCATTAACTTTAAAAATATATTATGCAGATTTCTCATACACAGATATGCCCATATATGCTTTTATTTATAGTCTCAATTCAAATGTCTCACTCCAATTTATGATTGTTGCAGGGAAGCTCACTGTGCACTTTGGAGTCAAAGAGCCAAGCAGTGGTGCCAAAAATGCCAGTAATGGTGGGATTGCTGCTGGGGAGAATGAAGCAGTGCGTTGTATGGAGTTGCCAGATGGCATTTACCCAAAAGGGGGTGGCTCAACCAGTTGTGTGGAATGTCGCAGGGGGGCTGAAGCTGTGGAACTGACCTGTGACTCCAGGGTCAAGAGACCTGCTCCAGGTAAGGTGTTCTTATCTGTATATCTACTAGTTGCTCTGGAATGGGATTATTTCCTCTATGTCCATCTGCACTGCTGTAGCATGTTATATGAACATGCATAAAAATATATTTAAAGAGCTATTTCAACAAGAAAAAAACCAGACAGTTAAGGATTGAAACAATGTGAGTATTGTACATTCTAAGACTTTGATGTCTTTTGAGGCTGAAGCATTTTGTGGGTTTATTTTATTTAAGGACTTATGTCAACACTTTTGAAAAGGGAACATAATCAGGTTACATAGGACTTTTTGAAATCAAATGAAAGTAATCAAATTTGACAAGACCAAAAAAAATTTCTTTGGAAAAGTCATGAGTTGGGGGAAACTATGGCTGACAAACTTCTTATTGGAACTAAACAAAAATTAGATTAGGAGAGGTTTTTTATTTCAAAAGGTTTGAGTTGAAATAAGAGATCTGCTGACTGAATCTTCATTACTTATCTCACCTTGTATAGTGAGAACAACGCCTCTCACAGAATTGATCTAAGAACAGTTCTTGGGGATTTCTCTCACTAATTTACCATCCATTTAGCTAATTTTAAAAAATTTGCCTCCAGCACACCGGGAAGACATCCTTCTCTCTTTTTCACTTGAATGTTATTTTTTACAGCAAATGCTAACATTTCCATGTACTGTACAGAGGTATCAGAACTCAAATCCCCAAATGTCTAAATTGTGTTGAAATATATTGATTAGAATCAGTTTAAATTGGGAGACAATTTTTATTTGCATGGAATTATGGTGAGTATTTTGTCCATAAAATACCAATTAAAAATTATATAATGTAAGTCTAAGGGAAATTGAGACTTGTCTTAGAGACATTTTGACTTCCGGACACTCTTGATGCACCAATTATGTCCGCATCTTGGGGTCTCACTGTACAGTATAT